GCCGCGCTGGGCGGCGCGGCGGCCGCAGCGCTGCACCCCTCGCGCCGCGCAGTCGCGGCCTGGGGCACCGGCGAGCGCGGTCCCGCGTCGCTGTCCGCGCTGTCCGAGGTCCTGGCCACGCACGGCGACCTCGTGCGCGGCCCAGGGTGGCGCGCCGTGGTCGCGCTCCTCCTGCGCCTGCATCGCGCGGGCCTGCTGCCGGCCGGCGTGCTGGCCGCCGACGGCGACGACGAGGGCGGCGCGGCGGCGCGCCTGCCGCGCCGCGCGTCGGGCGGCGCGGGATCCGGGGGGGCGGCGGCTGGCGGCAGCCTGCTGTCCCGCGCACTGGGGAGCCTCATCGCCATCGACGGCGGCACGGCCGCCGGCGCGGCGGGCGAGCGCGAGGCTGCCGGCGTGCGCGCCGCGGCCGACGCCGTGGCCGCGGCCGGGCTGCCCGACGTCGTGGCCGATACCAAGTTCCTGTTGGCAGACAGCCTGCTGGAGCTGCTGCAGGCGCTGGCCTGGGGCGGCGGCGACCTCGCCGCCCTCGTCGCCTCGGGCGAGCCCACCGATAGCGCCGAGGTTGGGGAGAGGTGTTTGGTTTGGGGAGGGATGGTGAGGGGGCGCTGTAGTGCGAGGCAAGACGACGTCCTGGGGTATCAACATCGTTTGATGACGTTTGCATAATACCAGAGGCAACCACCTCTTCGAGCAAACTACGCCCCCTCTCCACTCCCTCCCCCCCTCCACCACCCAACTCCCCGCCTCCCGCAGCTGTGCCTGGAGCTGCTCATCACGGTGGCGCTCCGCAACCGGGACCGCGTCACCCTCATCTGGCCGTTGGTGCACGAAGTGCTGGCCGCTGCCACGTCAGCATCGCAAGAAAGCAACGCGCTGGTGGAGCGGGCGGTGCTGGGCCTGCTCAGGGTGGGTGGGTTGTCGGGGGTCCGGGGGTGGGGACGGTGGATAGGGGGAAAGAAGGGTGGTGGTGGGGTCAAGGCTGTACTCCTGGATGCAGCAGCCTGGTAGAGCTGACCTCGGGGCACCCCCATCTGGGACTCTGGGGCGGTCCAGCAGGTTGTCATGTCTCGGCACTGTCACGCTCCACGTGGCGGCTGACCCTGCGTCCCACCCCCTTGTCTAGGTGTGCGAGCGGCTGCTGCCGTACAAGGAAGAAACCGCGGAGATGCTGCTCAAGTCGCTGACGCTCGTGGTGGGGCTGCCCGCGGGGGTGGCCTGGGACCTGGCAGACCGCACGGCCGCAGAGGTGGGTGAATGGGTTCAGGAGGGGGTGGGTGGGTGTGGCAGCGGTGATGGAGAGGGGGGCAAATGGGTGGGAAGGGAAATGGGTGGTGTAGTGCAAGGTGTCCCGTGGAGGGAACCCCCAGGCAAAGAGCGGAGGAGGGTGTGCAGTGGACGCCATGCAGGAGGGGAACCCATGCCGTATTCTGAGACGCTGACGGCCGCACTGCGCCCTTGTACCGGCGGGCGGTGCTGCCGCCCAACTTCCACACTCGAGGCTTGTGAGGGGCAAGAGCTCGTGATATCCTCTCGTCTTCTCCCCCCTCTCCCCGCCCTCTCCAAACCTCCAAGCCACTCCCCTCGCAGCTGGCCGCGCTGCTGCGCTCCTCTGCACGCTACATCCGAAGCGAGGCGGACTGGAAGACGGTGTGCGCGCTGGTGCGGCTGACCAGCCTGCGCCCCGAGGCGGCGCCCGCGGCCTTCGAGGCGCTGAGCGTGGCCGTGCACGACCCACGCGCGCTGTCCACGCGCTCCTTCCCCCCCCTGCTCGAAACCTGTCTGCACTTTGTGGAACGCTACCGCGCGCCCTCCCCCGACCTCGCCCTCCGCTTCCTGGAGATGGTGGAGGCGCTGCTGGTGTGGCTGGTGGGGCCCGCAGGGCCCGCCAGGGGGCATGCAGGGGGCGAGGGCGCAGGCGGAGGCGCAGGCCCTGGGGCCGCGCCGGGCGACAACCTCGCCACCACCACCCCGGGCGACGCTGTTGCCGCCGCCGCCGCGACTGCCGCCGCCGCCGCCACCGCCGCCACCCCAGCCGAAGCCCCCGCCGCGGCGCGCGTCCTGGAGCTCTGGCAGCCTGGCGTGGCGGCGCTGGCGGGCGGCGCGGCGCGCGACCCCGGCTCGCCCGCGCTGCGCGACGCCTGCCTGCTGGCCCTGCAGCGCGTGCTGCTGGCCAGCCCGCCCTCGGTGCACGACGCCGGCGCCTGGGCCGGCGCGCTGGGCACGCTGGTGCTGCCCCTCGTCGCCTCCGCGCGGCGCGAGGCGGCCGAGGGGCCCAAGCGCGGCCGCCCGGGCGCCGCACGCTCGCTGCGCCTGGCCGCCGCCATGCTGGTCAAGGTACTGCTGGCCGTGGTGGAGATCCTGGCTGCCGGTCCCGGCTTCTACGCGCTCTGGTCCGACAGCCTCTCCGTCCTGGCGGTGAGTTTGCGGGATGGCGGGCGGCACTGGCTGGGTGGGTTGGGTGGTCGAACCGATGATCGGTGCGGGGCTGTCCCTGCTTTATCCCCAAACCCCAGCTCAGACCCAACTCAACCCATCCCCAAAACCCGATCCAACCCCTCCGATTCTAGGAGTGCATGAGCGTGCCGGACGAGGGCGTGCGCGACTCGGTGCCGGAGAACGTGAAGAACATGCTCCTGGTCCTGGCCACCAACGGCGTGCTGGTGCCCGGGTGGCGCGACGCCAAGGGCGCCAGCCTCTGGGACCTGACCTGGGGCAAGGCGCACGCCGTGTCCTCCGGCCTCAACCCTGGCCTCCTGGTGGCAGCGGGTGTGGTGCCCGGGCACCAGGGCAGCCCACGCAGCCCTCTGGGCGGGGCGGCGGTGGCAGCTGGGAGCGGCGGCGGCGGCGGCGACGGCGGGGACGCCCCGGCTGTCGTTGCCGCGGGCGAAGGAACGCCTGCCGGCGAGGGCACGCCGACCCATGCTCGCAGCCCAAGGGCCGGCGCACGAGAGTCGAGTCCAGGCCCAGCAGCGGCGGCGGCAGGCAGTCCCCAGCTGGCGCAGGAGGGCGCCACGGGGACGCCAGAGGTCGTGAGCCCGCCCACCCCTGGAAAGCCATTGGCGAGCGGCGGTGACGCGACGACGCCCGCGGCCCCCGACGCTGTTCCTCCCCCAAGCGGCGTCGCTGAGACGACCGGCGCCGACCCGCCGCAGACCAGCCCCGGCTCCGACCGCGAGGAAGGGTCTGTCGAGGAGGCCGACGGCGAGCAGGCGTCCTCAGGGTGCAAGCAGAGCTGAAGGAGTGGATTACCTGGGCAGCACCATGTCCTGTGGCCGTGCATACTCGCACCCTGCTGTGTGGAGATGAGAATCTCGAGCTCCGGTGCACCCCTGCATGTGTTGAACCTCCCAGAGCTCCCCACCTGTCGTGACGTGCCTACTCGTCAAGTACTTTCGCACGCTATAACAGTCACGGCGTGATTACAGCGGGGCGGGGGCAATGCACAGTCCAGGTCACGAGCTAGATTTACACAGGCTGCCTCGTCAGCGCAATGACAGCGCCTCCTCCAGCGCACCGCCCAGCCCGGCCAGAAGTTCCTCCAGGGGGACGTCGGGGCGCGGCGCCGGTGCCCCGGCCGAGGCCACAGAGGGGATGTGCCAGGCATCCTTGGCGCAGGCATCCACGCCCAGTCGCTTCACGGGCAGGGCGCCGGGCTCCGCGCTGCGCCGCGCCACCAGCTGCAGCGCGGTGCTCACGTCGGCCGCCTGCTCGTCGATCAGCGCCTCCAGGCGCGCGGCGGTCTCGCGCTGGCGCTGGGTCAGCGCGCGCGCCTCCGCCAGGTCGGCGCGAGCGGAGGTCAGATCGGCCTCCAGCGCGGCGGCGCGGTCCGCCAGCTCCTTGGCGCGGTCCGCGGCTCGCGCCGCCTCGTGCTGGCTGTCCTGCAGCCGCGCCGCGGCCTCCGCAGCGGCACGGGAGGCGCGCTCCCGCTCCTCGTGCAGGCTGCCGCCCAGCTCCGCGGCCTTGGCCTCGTACCGCTCCGCAGCTGCCCGCCAGGTCTTGCACTGGGAAGGGGGAGCACGGAGGGAAGGGGGCTGGGGTGAAGGGGTGAGGTGGGGTGGCGGCCACGGTGCACGCGTTGGAGCGCAGCATGGGACAAGTCCCCCCTGCAGCGGGTGCAATGACTTCCATCGCCACTGCAACAGCCCCCTGAAAGCCATTCCTCCTCAGCATGAGTTTAAAACCCCCCGGCCCCCATCATACACCCAACTCACCTCTTCCGCCGCGGCATCCCGCTCGCGCTCGGCCACCGCCAGCGCCTCCCGCATCAGCCCCGTCTGGGTTTGCGCGGCCACCACGGCGGCGCGGTACCGCGGCACCACCGCCTCCATCCTCGCCATTGCGCTGTGCACGCTGGCGGGGGTTCCCGCTGCCGCCGCCGCCGCGGCGCCCTCCTGCTGAAAGAGATCGCGCGGGTCCAGGTCTGGGTCCGCGGCTGCAGGCGGGGTACTCTGCAGGAAGAACGACGCCCGCTGCGGGGAGTCCAGCGGGCTCCGCGCCCCGCCGGCGGGTCCCTTGTCCAGGGCCTGCAGCTCTTCACAGGCCTGTTTGATGATTTTGGGAGGGGAGTTGGGGGGTGTTTCTTGATGGCGTACCATGTGAGTAGGGCCGGCAATGGGGCTAGGGACCCGGATCAGGAGCGCCAAAGCGGCTCGGATCGGGGCAGGGCAGCAGTGCCGCCGCCTCACGACATAATGGACAGGGCAGCTGGCCAAACCCACCTCGCCACTCCTGCCCCGCCACCCCGCACTTCACATTCGCACCGCATCCAGCAGGGACAGGGCTCGGGTGCGGGGCATGCCTGGGCTCGACCCCGGGGGCACTGCCTCCAGGATGACCTGGCGCAGGGCTGCCAGCTGGCGCATCGTGGCCCGGCAGGCGCCCTGGGTTGCCCTGGCCCTGGCCTGGATGGCCTTCTCCACCAGCGGGAGGCGCGAGGCCAGGGCATGCATGGAGGCACGGGTGGTCTGTGCCTGCTCCTTGCGCCAACGCCGCTCGGAACGGACCTCGTCTTCGAGGCCGCTGGGAAGGGTAAGTTGAGGGTGGAGGTTGCAACGGGAGCAGCCAAGGCAGCATCGAGGAGGCTGGGTTCTCATCTAGCATATACGGGACCATATACTGAGTGCATGGGACATGCATCCATGCCTCGATCCAGACCTCAGAGGAGCGCCGGGTACCTGGCGACATAGCGGAGACGTGAGGCCTCCTGCTGGGCTGCAGTTAAGGCATCCTGGCAGGCAGCTGCGTTCTCGGAAGCTCGCTCTCTGCGGCGCCGCTCCCGATCCAGCTGTTCCTTTAGAGTTCCTATCTCCCTCAGGAGGGAGGTTGCCTGCACAGTCGGCGTATTGGGGTTGGTGGGCCTCGTCCAGTGGGCTCACCGACCCAGATGCCAGTACACTGAACACAGCTTGCCACCTCACCTGCATCTCTGCTCCCTTGGATCTGTGCAAATTGATATTTATATGCTGTATGGGATCGTTTTCATCGCCATTACAGAGTCCCTGCATCCAACCGCTGATCGATAACGGTATCGCAGCTTCCGATCTCCCGGTACCGGCGGGCATCGGCATCTGCCGCGCCTTCATTTGAACCTGTTCACGCGCGCCGGAGGTACTACAAGCATCTCACCCACACCTTGACATGTTCCTTGAAGTACGCACTCACCGCTTTGATTGAAGCAATAAAGGTAACGTTCAAAATTTTGGGCCAATGGAATGCCTCAATGGGATTCTCCACCACTAAATCGCATTCTGCCGCCTCGGCATGAGCACTTTTGTTTGCACTGAATGGGCAAAGTGGGAACTGCAGTAGGATGCCATCTATAAACATCTCAGAGCTTGGAGGTCTTCTTGGAGCTGAGCCGTGCCATGACCTTGCCCAGCGCTTCTGTGACGGCGGGAGAGTCGAGCGACTCCCAGCCATACTCCCACTCCGTCTGGCAGTAGGCGGACCACTGCGCGCTGTACTCCTCTCGCAGCATCCTCTTGGTTGCCTGCAGGAGGATGAGTTACCCAAAGATGGCTGAGGAGAACACGTCTCGAGCACAGCCTTTCCGGAGCATGACGACCAGCCTCCCTTGACTGGCAAAGCACATCGAGTGGTGAGCTCAGGGGCTGGCGGGCTCACGATACCCCTTCCCTTGACCCTGCGCAATGCGGGCGCATGCAGATGCTGGCCCAGCACGGGGACCAACGGCGTCAGAAGACCTCACCGCACGACCGACGTCTGGGGCACTCAGCATGGAGGCCAGGGCTTTCTGGGCCGCTGCATCCAGCTGAGCGGTAGGTACCACCTCGTCGACAAGGCCGAGCGACAGGGCTCGGCGAGGGTCTGGAAGCTCCGCATTCTGCATGGAGGGTGAGAGCGTTGGGGCTGGGTGGTTGGAAGCTTCGATACCGGGACGGGCAGCTGCTCCCATCGAAGTGTCCATCACGCATGCCAACTATGCATCAAGCATCTCTGAAACCTAAGCAATGCGACCAAACCCGGTCCTGGCTTCTGATCCCATATCAAACTCCCGGCGATGCACCCTCGCACGCACCAGGCAAAGCCTCTCGGCGGTCCTTGCCCCGATGACACGTCCCATCAACCCCGCCCAGAACTTGGGCACGGAGATGCCGAGTGCCACCTCGTTCAGGCCTGTGGGTTGGGAGACATGCGCGCAAACTGAAGGTCGCTGCCACAAAGAATGCTGCACAGCACTTGACCCACAGAGTGTCGGCCCCTTCCCTCAGAATCCAACCCACCGATGTGCCCATGCTCGGTCATGACTCGGTAATCGCACGCCAGGGAAATGGCGCAACCTCCAGCCGGGCACGCGCCACGGATTGCCGCCACGGTGGCCAGTCGTGTGCTGTACAGGCGGGCCAGGAACTTGTTGGACGTCACCCAAAACTCCCTGCAGTGATGATCAAGGTGGTCAGTGTTGCACTCACAGTGAGCCGGTGTTGCTCAGACACCGCGTTGGTTGCGCAAGGTTTGGAGGGAGTAAAAGAGCATGTGAGTCCAGCCACCACGCATACCGACGATATGCTCACCTGTATCGCTGGGCAGAGGTCAGAGGGGCGTAGAGCTCCCGGATGTCGTTGCCTGCCGAGAAAATGTCCTTCTTCAAGCCCGACCGGAAGATTATGCCCCGCACGGCCGGATCTTCTTCGCACGCATCTAGGATGCTGGTCAGGCCCCTCCAGAGGTCGAGGGAAAGCGTGTTGACGGGCTCAGAGCGCACGGTGACGACGGCATACCCACCGCTCTGGACGTCGACCTGGAAACCCTTTGGCACGTTAGAGGCAGCCATTTTGGGGCGGTAATTCATGAAAAGGAATGCTCAGACCATGTCTGGGTCCTCAGTGGTGACGACAAGATGCAGCCAGAATGTAATTAAAGGCTCGCGGGCATTATTGCTAAAATCCCGACAGTGCGCTGACGTCGCGCACTTCCGACATCCCACCGTACTTGAGATAATGCTGCAGTAGCAATCCACAAATCGGGCTGCAATCGGCTTTGAGCTGACGATTGCTTGCAAGCAAGGGTGATTTGGGTGTGTAGAGGCAGCACTCCTCATGCGTTGACTGCGTGCTCTGCCAGCATGTGTAGCAACCGTCATAAGATAAATCCTGTAGAAGATGGATCGTTCAACTTAGCAATCCATGCAAAACACGGGACGATCTTTCCCAAATGAATCGAACATTGAAGAGCATTCAATAGTGAAGTTCATTGAGAGCTCTTGCAGTCAGTCAGCAAGGCGTACATAACGTACCAATGGCACCTGGCCTAGGCATGCCCACAGGCACGAGCAAGGTGGTAGACATGGTAGTGGTGGTTCAGGCTGCGCTCCGCCTGCAGCCGCAGCCCGCCTGTACCCCCGAGAGCGCCGCCCGCCGCGTCCGCGTCGCAGAAGATGACGCGGCGCGCCCTACTGTGCACCAGGGCCATGGCACACATGATGCACGGCTCCACCGCCAGGTAAACATCGTAGCCGGTGCAGAGGTAGGGACAAGGAGCGCCGTGCAGCATGATGTCCTCAGCTAGACGCGGGCGCTTGGGGCACCCATCCTGTGCTGAGCCGCCCTCCTCCTGCTGCAGGCGGGCCCTCTGCCCCGCTGCCACGGCCTCCACCGCCAGCATGACAGCGTGCTGCAGCGGGTGCACGTCGGGCGCAGCAGTGCAGCAGGCCAGCACCTTGTCTGCTTGGAGGGTGATTGGGTATGAGGCATCGACTGGATCAGCAGTCCAGACATTTCGCGAGGTTGCAGACTTTGTGTACTCGCTCCACGAACTGTGCCTCAGAGCCAGGCGATGACGAGGAGAAATGCAGGATCGCCCCCTGGAATGCACCGACCCACAAACGCGCCTGTGAAGGGGTCGACCACGGCGCAGACATTGGCGCCGCAAGCGTCGGCCCGCACCACCACCGCCGCCAGGTGCTGCCTCATGGCGGTCTCCTCCGCGGGGTCCAGGGCGACGTGCTCAGGCTGCAGCTGCGGGTCCGGCGCGCGCCAGGTCAGCGGCCAGTGTGCGCCCCACCCCGCCCAGTCGGCGCGCGTCGCCGGCGCCAGCTCGGGCACCCCCACCTCACTCAGAGACAGGGAGTGCTCCTGTACAATGGCACTCACCCCCTCCGGCAAGCCCTCGCCGTCGGGGACGGGGCACACCAGGATCTGCAGGGCAGCTGCATCCTGGGGATGCCGCCGGATGCGTTTCACATGGTGTAGGGCTGTCAGGGGACACGGGCCGGCCAGCGCCCTGGTGAGGATGCCACCATGGCTGGTGGGAATGGTGGCGGCGTACCATCTGGCGAGTTGGAGCGTGGGTGGGTCCCGCGCGGGGATCACACGGGGTTTGGCCAGAGGCGGGGCTGGGGCCCCAGCGCACACCGCCTCCGCCTGGGAGTCGCACATGCTGTTGCGTCAGAACAGGGGACGCGCTTGCATTATTTAATCACGCATGGGGTATGTACGCGCTCTTGGCGAAGCTCAGGACTTCGCCAGGAAGTTGTCTGTCGGCAGCATGCGTCGTAGAGACAAGCTCATGCGCGCGCGCGCGTTGTCCAGCAGGAAGGGGAGGGACGACCAAAATTCGCCCTCCCCCTTGTACGAGAGGCCCTGGATTTAGTGCTCACCGCAGGGTCGTAATTTACTTTTTAAACGCTCGGACATACAAAATCTAGCTCGTGGCTCCTCAACTACGGGAATCACGTCCCCTGGCTGAGTTCCTGGTGCCCACGGCTGTTTTGTCTCACACTCCCCATCCTCGGCAAGACGTACGCCTCCACCACAATCGCATCGACGTGATGTACCATTTGGTATCCCAGTACGTCGCTAGGCCTCATGACTAGTAGAGTTGCCTTTCACCCTTACGCTGGCGCAACTTAAAAGTATGCACGGAACCTGTGCCAGGGTCCTTCATAACGCCCCCAGCATCTCCTTCCACAGCCTAACTTTCCCGATGGAGAGATTATGGCCGAGAACCCTCCTCGACTGGCTCCCAACCTCCCTCCAGGAGGGCCCTCACTTGGGATTCCCACCCTCCTCCAAAGATCATCATCCCTAAAGACCGTGGAACACTGCCCTGCTATGGTATTGTATTCGGTGCTCTGGACTTGGCAGCCCCCCAAAGGTGGACAGTCCCCGCCCGGCCGGCTTCCTATCCAATCAAACAGTTATTGCTTCCAAGAAGTACACGATTGTCCTGCAGATCCCTGGCATATACAGTGGTGATGCCCTGGCTTCGCTCAGTGTCTTCTGGATGGAAGCCGTGCTGGCTGACCGGCTGCCTTGGCAATCTTTTCTGAGGGAGTTTTCAGCATGGCTGCCCTTCACGACTTGGAAAATAAACCGCCGTCACCACCTCTCTCCACATCCGACCACTCTCAGCCACTGTCGTACACGGCCCTCCTTCTGTCAACATACGCCTCCGTCCGTTTCCTCCCTTCCCCACAACCTCAGTCCCAGAGTGGGCCGAGGACCACCGCAACCCTTTGATACCCTGTGCTCTTGACCCAGCTGAGCACCTCCACCGCACCCCTCCCCGGCTCCTGCCCGAGCCTGAGAAGTTTCTTGACAATTACCTGCGCGTGAGCATGATCTGCCCCAATACCTCATGTTTGGGCGCGGGTATCCTGTTCAACCCCCAAGAAGGACGGCAGCATTTTGGTTTTGCGTGGAGCTCGGGGCTCTCTATGCCAATACGGTGAGCGATCGCTCCCCCCTCCCTCTCACCATCGACATCTTAATCCAGTCATATGGTGCCGCCGTCTATGGAAATGATAACCGAGGCGTACACTATCGGAAGAGGTGAGGGGTCCCAGAGCCGGGTCCCAATACATTTGGTGCGGAGGTCTCATGCTGGAAGTCCTGGGGCCTTGTGGGCCGCCAAGACTGATGCATAATATCTTCTGACGCAAGATTTTGGCGCGATCGCCATCTGTTTGTGCACAGTATTGTCGACTGTTGCTGCATCTCGACCCCACGAGGGGCATCGTGCTAGGAGTGCTGTCCTATCGGAACACGGGTTCAAACACACAATCAAGCCATTTCACGCCGACCGCACCTGGCGGGGATGAGCTGGCATAACTCGTGTAAGCCCTATCAACCATTCCCAACCATTGCAGCGACAAACGCAATAAACTGAACATAATCTATAATGTGTGTGTAGTGCACGAGCTGGCGTCGGTCGCTGGACCCATTGATTTCGCACTCCCCAGGTCCATCCCGCCGGTCATGGAGACCGCACAGCTGCCCCTGCCCCACCCCTCCGAGTGTGGATCCGACGAATGGGCGCGCCAGATGCGTCTTCGCTTCAGTCCCGTTGGCATGTGCAGCGAGACTGGCGACATCGTGCAGGACTTCTTCCGGCCTAGCGGCCTTGCACTGTGCGGCGAGGAGGGGTCACGCTGGGGCGCTGCCCAGCAAGCGGCCCTTTACATGGCAAGTAGTGAGATGGAGGGCACATACGCAGGCCACTCCATTTGTCAGATGGACTGGCTGTTGAGGCGAGGGACAATGGCATCATGTGTACGCCTCACTCCTCATGGTACACACCAGAGGCGCACAGCATGATCCCATGCCCGGCACCCGCCCTCGAGCAGGGTTTGGAAAAGTATGGGGTCGGTAGGTGGCGGGACATGGCCACGGAGCATCCGGCGCTGGAAGCCTTTGATGATGCAGCCATCCGGACCAAGGCGGCCCGCCTCTTGGGCACGCAATCGCTGGCCCGCCATGCGGGGTGGAAAGGTGCGAGTTTTCTAGGGGGCTCGAACCCTGAATGCCGCGGCACGGCTGGCATGCCATAGCCCATGTGTCAAGATGACCCTCTCAGTAGCGGTGACTTGCCCAGTCCATGATTCTCAATCCAATGACAAGGCCACAGCCCCCCCTGGAGGAGGTGAGAAGCACTCAGTATCACACCATGGCCAAACCCCAATCCCTGGCTGCCCCCCGCGTCCCCTAGCAGGCAACCAGGCGGCCGTGGATGCCGAGCGGGCGCGGCACCGGGCCATTGGTATCCAGCTGGGATGCTGGAAGGGAGGAGTGCTGGTCGAGGATGCCCAAGGGTCCGTGGCCGCCGCCATGGCAAGCTCTACGCTTCCAGGCGAGCCTGGGTGCTGAGCAGCACAGTGCCCGGCGTTCCCCTTGTGTAGGTCCATTGAACTCTGGTCGGTCCGATCGTCCATCGTGGCAAAGGGTTCAGGGTAGGTCAATGCTTCCAGGGTGCGGCGTGGGTGAGGGACGCCGTCGCTGCCGCGCGGCAGTCGTCTCATCGCAGGCCTCTTCTCGCTTTCAGGAGCTGCACCGCCGCCTCAGTCCAGGATGAGCGCCGGCGCACCGGCGCCCGGGTCCTCCCCCCCCTGTGTGTCCCGCTGTCCAAACGGCAGCGCCTCGATCTGTGCCAGGGCCGCCCTCAGGATCTGCTGCTCGATGCCCACCAGGCGCGCGGCCGCCGCCCGCCGCGCGTTCGTCTCTGGGTCGCGGTCCGGGGTCGCGTCCCCTTCGCCCCCTGCCACCGGCGCCGGGTACCGCGCCAGGCGAGCGGCCAGGCGCGTGCGCAGCGTGCCCAGCGCGCGTGCCTCGCTCCCGCCGTCCAGCGGCCCCGCACCCGGCCCGAATTCCACCGCCCAGACGTCGCGCGGCGTGCGTGCCAGGGCCAGGCGCAGGAAGGGAAAGAGCGGCGCGGGCAGGGGTGTGGCCCCCCGCGACAGCTGGAACAGCTGCTGCGTGGCCAGGCCGCCGCCCTGCTCCGCCAGCCGACCGCGCTTCAGGCTGTACAGCGGGTCGCTGGCAGGGATGATGGCTGCGGGGCAACGAGCAGAGGGGGGTGTTACACGACGTGAGCACAAGTATCATCCCCCGCTGGCGGGGGTGGGGGGGGGTATTCACCAAAACGTCAGAAGCAAGCCGCCTGGTCACTGCTTTGCCCTGAACCATGCCCCGGATCTTGTACTCCTCATGCCGAGGCATCTCGTCCTCTGACACCATTGCCAGGATCAGAGCGCCCTGTTGTTCAGCCCAGGCACAGCCATCCATTTGCGAACCAACACCCATGCACTGATCTCCTCGTTGCTTTCGGATGCCTCGATTGACACCGCTCGCCCAGGAACAGCATCCCCTTCAAACCCGCAACCCCCACCCTTCCATCCCACGCCTCGCCCTTGGCCCCCTTGACACACACCCACCTTCCAGGGGGAGGCGGTCGTAGGGGTTGGCCTCGTCCACGATGCCGTAGTTGAGCAGGAGGCGCGAGTTGGGCTGCGGCCCGCACCACGCCAGCACCGGCTCGCCCGGGCGGTACGCCCGATCCGCGGCGAGCTGCACCTCGCGGGACGTGGGGTCGTACCGCAGCATGGCGCTGGCGGTACTGCTGTAGGTGAGCAAGGGCGGCCCCAGGGGCACCAACGCAAATCGTTGGGACAGCGGCACTCCCTGGTGCGGGGGCGGGGATGAGAGGGGTGTGTGATTGATGCGGGAGGGAGGAGCCAGGAAGACCTGGGGGTGACTAAGGGGTCGGTGACGAGGGGTGCACACTGACAATGAGCACGCATTCCCTGGCCTGCACGCGCCGGAGCGCCCTTTCCACCAACCTTGGCAGAACCCCCAGGCAACACCCTGCACCCTCATGCACTCCCTTTCCTTCTCAAATACAGCCCTTGAGGCCCCTGCCTGCCTGCAGGCAAGACACCCTGTGCTCCCCACCCCCTCCGCTGTGCTGACCTGGAGGTGCACCACACAAGACTGCACGGCCGCAAAGGCCTGCCGGAAGACCTCGGGCGTGAACTGCTCGGTGGGGATGTCGTAGGGGTACTGGTTGAACAGGCTGCCCGCCATGAACCACACGGTGTCCAGCTCAGCGTACTCCCGGTCGATGCCCTGTTTGAGGTTGTTGGGGGAAAGAAGAGGGGAATGAGCAGGGGGAAGTGCAGGGCAAGAAGAGGAGCATACCGAGGCGTTGTTCGCTTGCGACGCCGCCCCCTCAAGCACCACAGGAACAAGGGAGCGCGGCCACACCTTCATGCGTTCGTTGACCTGGGCGACCAGGGGGCTGCCTGCGAGGTACTGCTCTACCTGCCAGGGCTCCCAGAGGATGGGGGAGCGGGCGCCCTGCTGCCCCTTCCCCCTCAGCCTGTCCAGCTCCTTGATGAAGGGGTGCCAGAAGGAGGCGGTGCCCCGCTTCTTCTCATAGGCCAGGTACAGGGTGAGGCAGGCCAGCTCGCTGAGCTTGCTGGTGGTCAGCAGCTCGGCCAGGGAGGCGGAGTGGAAGATGCGGTCCAGGGTGACCACCAGGCGGTCGGGGACGCGCAGGACGACGTCGCCGGGGAGGGCCGGGCGCGAGGCCACCACCGTGTCCAAGGGGGCGCCGTCGCGCTGCAGGGTCTCCAGTCGCACGCCCTGCTCGGGCAGGCCGTTCTCCTGCGATGGTATGTGGGAGGAGGGATCCGGCTGTGGCACTGCCCCGGGAGGGGATGCTGTGGGCAGGGGAGGAGGGATCCATGCGCGGCCCCCCACCTGGAGCCATTGTACGAAGCGGGAGGGCGCGGAGGTTGGCGACTCGGCAGCGGCTGCGGGGGTGCATCGCCGAGGTCTATGGGCCGATGCCGTCTGTGAAAGGAGTGGGGAGGCGTGGCTGGTGTGACGGAGCCACCTGGGGTCGTTCTGGAGGTCGCACGAAACCCTCTTGCCACGCACCCGGTACCGGCGAAAGCACTGCCTCCGGGGCAGGGCGCAGGGCCGCAGCTGGGCTTCCAGCGCTACCATCGCTCCGTGGGTCTGGAGTACTCGGACCACAGAGGCCGGATGGGGATCGCGGAGCCATGGACCGGGATGCATCCATCGTGCAGCCCTCCCTGCTTTGCCGTGCTGCGCACGACACCATCATCCGACTCCCATTGGTCTGGTGGGGTATGTGGACCTCTTCAGCGAGCAAGCATCGACGTCCTGGACAGTCTAGCACACCTTGCCCGGTGACCATCGGAGCTCTTTGACGCTCACTCCTTGTAAAAGGTGCGTTTCAGCCAAGCGTGGCCATGCCTCAACAAGAGATGAACCCAGTCGTAAGGTTGCAACACAGGTGAAGCTGATCTTTTCCATCCCACAGGGGATCAGGGGAGGAGTCGTGCTGCTCATCAAATGAAGGTAATTGCTCAAAGTGCCGTGGCAGGCTTGGGTCAGCCGGTGCTCCAACCCCAGTTCATACCAATTCGGCAGTGGTGGTGAGGGCACTGTGGAGCATGCATTGCACCAGGGTCTGATCGTCGATGCACAACCGCTGCAGCCTCAGCCTGCAACCCACTCGCTGCCGTAATGAGGGCGGGCCTGTGACGGCGTCGGCCTCGCAGCGCGCCAGGGAGGTGGATCCGCCCTCGCTGCTCTCCGGCATCCCTCCACCACCAAGGAGGGCAGCGCCGCAGCGAGCAGGTCATACACTCGCATGCGGGAGTATGACCGGTGGAGCCCTCGTCAGCCAATCAGAGGCTGGGCCTCCTCCAGGCAGTGGTAGTAGTGCTTCAGGTGGTCGTTCCTCCATTCCAGGCTGGACCACTCCTGCGCGCCCTCCACCTCGTCCGAGGACAGCTGTGCCTCGGGCATGGCGGCCAGCTGGTGCCAGAGCTCGGCCTCGATGTGCACGACGCAGCAGCTGGGGAGGACGTTCCAGCACGAGCGGCGCTCCCGGACACAGGCCAGGAGGCGCAGACCGACGTGGGTCTCGGGGACGTCGTCCGGGGCCACCCACGCGCTGCAGGTGATGCAGAGGGCCGGCAGCCCGGGGGGTCACTTGACAGTCGCCACGGTGTGCCAGGTTTCATTATCCCTGGCGTCCTCGGAGAAGGTCGTGGCCCCCTCGCTGTGCTCACATTCGCAGTCGCGGAGCTCAGCACCCCCAGCCCGGGTGGGAGCTCGAGCCGGACGCAGGCGGGGCAGCACACCCTGGAGCACGCGTAGGCGGGGCCAGGGCGGGGCCAGCTCTTCCTCCTCGCCCCACGACGGCCTGCGTGAGATGTTGAGGGCCAGGCAGCGCGGGCCCGGCCCCAGGCGCTCCAGCTGTCCCTCCAGCACGTCCACAGGGCCCACAAGGCGCAGGCTGCTCCAGGGTGTGGGGAGGGCGTCCCCACCCAGAGGACGCCCAGAGTCAGCGAGCGGAGGTGGGGCAGGTCTGCCAGTCCGAAAAGGCATAGCAAGGGATCATCGATGGCGACGGTGTGCTGGAAGGGGAGCCGGGCCAGGCTGGGCGGCGGCGTCACGTCGGCGTCCTGGAGCGAGAGGGAGACCAGGTCGGGGCAGACCTCAGGCAGGCCCTCCAGTGCACGGTGGATTGGGGGGGGGGGAGGTCCTTGCCCCAGCTGACGGTGGGGCAACGGAGGCTAAGGCTGCGCAGCCGGCTCCAGCACGCCAGCTGGGGCTCGGAGCCGAAGCAGGCAAAAAGGGGCCTCCTGCGCGGGCGGGGTGCGCCGGGGCACACGGGAGGGTGGACAGAGGGTTTGGGGGAGGAGCGCATCTGGGGAGGTGGCAGCCCTGCCTGGGTGCGAGGTCGAGCTCCCAACCCTGGAGCCCGGCCTTGCACCGGGGAGCAGGACACCACCCGACCACAGGTATCACCTCCTCTGAGGCAGGGTCTGGCCGGCGCAAGGAGGGGCACCCCCACGTCGGGCCCTTCCCCGGGCCACGAGCTTGCAGTTGAGGACAGCCAGGGCTGCAAGGGCAGGGAGCCGTGCCGACCATTCAGCGTCCAGGCTCTCACTCGTGCAGATGCACTTCGAGGGTGCTGAGGTTTGGCAGGCTCGATAGCTCCTGCATCTTCGTGATCGACTCACGCTGTACCATCTCCAAGTGCAGTCTCAAGCTCTCCAAGGCGCAGGGCGGGGCCGCAACCCGCAGGTCTTCTTCCGAAACCAGGTGTAGGCTGCGGGTGCGCATGCTGGTGGCCCGTGCGTCCGTGATCAGCGGGACCAGCCACAAGCTGCGGAGCCTGGGCGGGTGCCTCCAATGGACCTTGCTGCCGTTCAGCGATGTCGCGACCGCCAAGCGCTGCAGGGCCAGGACCTTGAACTCCTTCCGGCAGGGGCCCACAATAGCTTCATCGCTCAGGTGGAGGTTTCGCCACCACCCCAACAGGGCACAGGCTGCCAGGGCAGCCATGCAGAGCAGGGGCAGCACCCTGCGAGAAAGCAATGTGCAGGTGATGTCCGTCATGGAGTCAATTGTCTGGATCCTCAGCCACGAGCCTCTTCATGGGCTGGGGAATGGGCTGTGCGCAGAGAGTGAATAGATCAGCCGACCACTCCTCTGGAGGTGCTCACCTCCTTGGATCGACAGAGCCCTCATATGTGGCAGCTGATGGATAATCAGCTTCATCCAATTCGTCTACATACTGATCCCACACTGCACGGAATATCCTGGCGAGGATGGGGTGCGGCAGGTGGAGCAGGGTGATCTTGGGCTGGACCGCCGTCCCGGAGGATGAGGTCGGGCCAGCTCGGGCGTCAGCAGGCGGTTGGCATGGCGCTTTCGGGAGCCACCCTTAGTTTTATTCAAGGTAGACTACATGATAAGATCTGTAACATTGCTTCATCCATGGTGCAGGGCCGCAACCGGCATGTCGCTCCTCATGAGCGTGCGGTCGCAGGACGTAAGTTCCCCGCAATCCGGGCTACACCTGCAATATCATGAGAGAGGAAAATTGTGAATGCCCTGTATGAGAATCACATCGAGCAACATGCCTCACCGTGGACATGGTGTTGGCCGAGACACCCACCTTCAAACGTAAAGTGGCACCTGCTCGCTGTCAGCGTTACATGGTCGGTCGTAGTGCCTTCAAGACATTGGAATATCTTCATGTGCCGAGGGAAAATGATCGAAGGATCGAAGGGTGGCACGTGAGGATGCCATGTCTGGCCTTGTTCTCCGAAAGCACATACTCTTGTGAAAAAGACAGGTGTCTACTGGTTCGGATCACGAGCCCCAGTGCACATCGCATCCGCAAGGACGACAAGGCTCAGACCTCACGTGTCCTGTATCCGCCGGTACACGGCTCGCCAGGTCTTCCCGCCATTGCGAGCCACCTTCTGACCCTCCTCTGTGCCTTGGAGGAGCAGGGCTGCCGCGGGGTCCCGCTCCACCTCCACCTCGGGCACCGCCTCGAAGAGCGGGTGCGCATCCAGCTTCTCCTTCTGCAGGAGAAGGGAGGGGCATGCTGACCGGACGCAGACTGTTGGCTGGAGTTGTGTCAATCGTGGCGGGCATGCATCGTGCCACTTCCGGCTGCTACGATGTGCATGAGGATCTCCGGGGGCCGTCTCCACCAAGGAGGCCTCCCTCATGCATGCAACTCCTACCCCACCCAAGGGCTCCATCACCCAGCCGGCCCACCATCCAGATGCCCAGTTCCTCCACATCCGTGATGGTGTAGAGGATGCCACCCGGTGCCATGATGAAGGCGTACTCCGCCAGGAGGGTTGTCTGGATGATGCGTCGGCGGTGGTTGGCGGCCTTGAAGTGCGGGTCCTGGCGACATGTCGGGGGCAGTGTTACACGGGTGTGAAGCCAGCGAGGAGTAAGGGTGGTGCCCTGCTCAACATACAGGCTCAGGACCATGCCAGCCCGTGAGCGCATTGACGACAATTCAGGGGGGTGAGCGGGCAAGGCTGCTACCTCCCATCACTTCGCAGCGCGGAACAGTGCCCGGCAGGGAGACACGAGACGAAGGCGACCGGTCCCCGCATGCACCCCAGAGATCTCATCGCACCGCAAAGAGGAAGAAGAGCTTCTCCAGCTGCCCCTTGGCAAAGTAGTTGGGCAGGCACTTCATGGCATTTGTGCGGACCACCCCAGCATTGTGGTAGCTTCCGGGCGACTGGAGCCTGAGGGCGATGACCCGAGCCTTCACATACTCTGCATGGTGATTGGAAGGGGGTGGGAGGCTGGGATGGGCAATCGGTGAGAGGCTTCAGGGATCCAGGGTCCTCGTGCTGCATGCTTTGCTCCAGCGCATCCAATTCATTTCAGTGATCGACACAGAGTGCAGACACCTCTCGTAGCAGGAATGTCGACCCACTCCGAATGGCACCAATACGAGCAGGCATCCTCCTGATGGCACCCCACCTGTGACTTTGTCGCGCAGCTCCATACCCACCACGAGCTTGCCCGGGAAGTTCTCCGCCAGCTTCACCGTGAGGCCACCGAACCCACACCCAACGTCCGCGAAACGAACCAGGGGAGGGGGCTGCCCTGCCGCTGCGGCCGCCGCATATGCTTCTGGGTAAATCTCAGCCCTGCAGAGTGTTTCCTTGATTCTACTATGGAAGTCGATGCTGACACCGCATAATGCCTCAAGCGTGTCAGGAAGTCACGCAGCCTCCTGCCCAAGCTCACCAGTTGACATGTTTGGGGGAGAGTGGGACGTCAAAGAATTGGTCGTTCAAGGGATTACTGTGTGCCCTGGCCCTATACAGCTGTTTCTTGGGCATCTTGACTTCCTGTAGAACGCAAAAGAAAGCTTCAAACGTTTCAGATACCTGTCTCGAGCCCTGAGTGCACATGTGAGATCCCTGCACGCACTTTGTCTGCAGCCCTCTTGTTCGCCATCGCCGAGTGGCGAGGGGGTAGACACGAAAAGAGGTCGCCGTATCTGGAAGGAATGTAATATACCAATCGCATATGGATACTACCCGAACGGTGTCATGTGGCCAGCTCGCCCTGAAAACGTTCGTTCCACTGAGGCAACACGACTCATGCGGGGCGTGCTATGGGTGGAAACCGAGCTGCCCCGGGTCAACGCAGTCGACGCGAACCTACATCGCTGACGTGGCCGATTTCGCAACAGCCCCCGAGAGGAAGGGAAGGGCATTTTCCACCAGTTATCAGGGGGAGCAACCGCACCCTCCACCTGCCATATTATTCCGTCTTGACACCGCTTCAAGCACTGAGAACCAGCCAGTTAGACGCTATGGATCCCTACAAGGTCTGTTTTCCCATTCCGGACTTGGGATGGACCGTGGCTCGTGTCGTCTGCACAGGATCTTCCCTCAGGACGAACGGCATGGTCTGCTCCGCGCTTGCCATGATTGTGTCTGCCTGATAGGGCAAGCACCCTACATCATGCCAACGACCCACCCCCTCACCCCCCTCCCCCTCCCTGCAGTATCGCCCCAACTCGGAGTACAACTCCACCCATTGGACCACCAACACCGGCATGCCGGTATGGAACAACAACAACTCCATGACTGTGGGAGTGCGTGGTGAGTAGGGTCTGGGGAGTGACGACGCCGGATAGGGACGGGGCATCTTCGATTCCTCCGGTCTTCAGATCGGGTGCCGGCTCCTGACCCTCACGGGCCGGTGTCTGAGGCATTCCCACTCATCATCTCGCCTTCCCCCGCAACATTCATTCAGGCCCGGTCCTCCTGGAGGACTACCACCTGGTGGAGAAGCTGTCAAACGTGAGTTCAGGGTGTTGGAATGTAGGGCCAGCATGGATGATGACATAATCCCTTGCATGTACTCGCTGGGAAGCTGTATCCCCGCCGTGTTCCTGGTGCCCAAGCACCTATGCAATGGATCCACGGACGACAAGTCGCCCTCCCACCGCAGTTTGACCGCGAGCGCATCCCTGAGCGCGTCGTTCACGCCCGCGGTGCCGTCGCCAAGGGCTTCTTCGAGGTGGGCGTGTTTGGTGGTGTGGTTGCGAGGGGCATTCGCACTGCTGTGCTTGGTGGCTTGTCAAAAGTATTTCCTATTGCGGATCAGTGGTCGCTCCGGTTGCCCATTGCCACATGGCAGTGGTGGTGTGTGCAGTCCATGGCTGCTTGCGTGCCTAGTGACACGATTCCACCCATCCCCTCATAGACACTGCCCCCCCCCAAAAAAAAACACCACACAGGTCACCCACGACATTTCCCACCTGACCTGCGCCGACTTCCTGCGCGCGCCCGGGGTGCAGACCCCCATCATCGCCCGCTTCTCCACTGTGGTGCACGAGCGGGGGTCCCCCGAGACCCTGCGCGACCCCCGCGGCTTTGCGGTCAAGTTCTACACACGCGAGGGCAACTTCGACATGGTGGGCAACAACTTCCCCGTCTTCTTCGTCCGCGACTCCATCAAGTTCCCCGACATGGTGCACGCGCTGAAGCCCAACCCGAAGACCAACATCCAGGAGCCGTGGCGCTTTGCCGACTTCTTCTCCCACCACCCCGAGGCCATGCACATGTTCACCTTCCTCATGGACGACGAGGGCGTGCCCAAGGACTACCGCCACATGATCGGGTCGGGGGTGCACACCTTCAAGCTGCTGAACGGGGATGGGCGCGAGACGCTGATCAAGTGGCACTGGCGGCCCTCCTGCGGCGTGGCCAACCTGGCCACGCCCGAGGAGATCGCGGAGGTGCAGGGCGCCAACCACCAGCACGCCACCGCGGACCTGTGGGACGCAGTGGCGTCCGGGGACTACCCTGAGTGGGGCCTGTTCATCCAGACCATGGACCCTGCAGACGAGGACAAGTTTGAGTTCGACCCGCTGGACGTGACCAAGGTCTGGCCCGAGGACCGCTTCCCGCTGCAGCCCGTGGGGCGCATGGTGCTGAACAAGAACCCCGACAACTTCTTTGCGGAGAACGAGATGCTGGCCTTCAATCCGGGCCTCATCGTCCCCGGCATCGCCTACTCCGATGACAAGCTGCTCCAGGGCCGCATCTACTCCTACTCCGACACCCAGCGCTACCGCCTGGGCGGCAACTACCTCCTGCTCCCGGTCAACGCGCCCAAGTGCGCGCACCACAACAACCACTTTGACGGCGTCATGAACTTCATGCAGCGCACCGAGGACGTCAACTACTTCCCCTCGCGCTACGACCCCGCCCGCAACTCTGAGAAGTACCCGGTGGTCACCGCTCCCCTGGCCGGGCGCCGTGAGCGAGCCGTCATCCCCAAGGAGAACAACTTCCAGCAGGTGGGTGGCATGGGTTTTGTTTTGTTTTATCTTATCATTTTTTTTTTTGGGGGGGGGGGGGGTTCGATGTGGGAGGGGCCGAGCAGGCAATGGAATGTGTGCTCAATTGTGATAGATGTCCGCCGTCACGTTCTCGACAGAAACACCATCAACGCAGCACAACGAGGAGCTGCGCATTCCTTTCCTCATGTGCACCCCGCTCCCTCCTTACCCTCACTCCCGGCACTCCTCCGCAGCCTGGAGAGAGGTTCCGCACCTTTGACCCAGCCAGGCAGGAGCGCTTCATCACGCGCATCTCCGAGATGCTGCTGGACGATGGGTGCAACGCTGAGATCCGGCGCGTCTGGGTGGGCTACCTCACCCAGTGCGACGCCGATCTGGGCAAGCGCGTGGCCCAGAAGCTGACAGCCAAGTCCGCGCTCTGAGCGCCGACTCAAAAGGCTGGTGCTGGGCCGCTGTGTGGGCTGCGCCCCATCTCCTTCTCCCCAGACCGTGGCAGAGAGCGACCTGCCCCGTGAATGTCACCCCTGCCTGGCCACCCGGGCGTAGAATCTGCCAGCTGGTTTGCTTCCGTGACAGGCTGCCCTCTCTCCATCTCGCACACTGCCACTGAGAGCGCACCCAGCATACCCACGTCTCCTGGTTGTCGTATTTCCGTCTGATGGATGCACCCCTGTAGATACTCTTGCGTTGACATGCAGCTATAAGGGTGCGAAACGAGGGGTTGACAGCATATCTTTGCTGTAGCATGGGAATTGGGCGTTGTTACAGGACCAGTGGTGGCCTGCACCTTGTGCCAGCTTACCATAATGGCCCGGGCTACGTTGTTCCGTCTGTCAGGCCACTGCTATAACGACGGCCATGGCGGATGCTAGGAGCATGGCCACTGACTGGAACCCGCCCGAGCTGAGCGCCGAGGAGGTCGCCCAGACCCAGCGCGCGGTGTATGTCACGGGGGCAACCCCCAGGATGTCGGTGTTGGCGAAGAGCAGCTGCGCAGGGGAGGGCAGGGTGCGTGGCGGTGGAGGCGAGACGGAAGGGTGGTAGCGGCCGGTGAGCAAGATGTGCAAATGGAACACTCTGCATATGACTGACCGCCCCAACATGAATGACAGTTGACTCGGCACCCTGCGCCTGCCGCCACGTCGGGGCACCTTCATCCTCATGGCATCCACTGCCCCCCCCGGGGGCAGGAGCCCTCCCTTCAGCCCACCGTGTAGAGCGCAGAGCATGTTCCCCCACTCTGCTGGGTGCTGATGCGCAGGGTGTTGACACCACCCGCGCCCCCGGCGCTGAAGGCCACGCCGCTGTAGTCGTAACAGGACTGGCCCGCCTGCCCCTGCATGCAGCCCGCGGGCATCCCGGCCTTGGGCTTTTGCTGCATGAAAGTGCCGGTGGCCAGCTCCATCCCGCCATCATCTGGCGCCAGGGACAGTGAGGGTCGGAAGGGGTGGTGTGAGGGGCCTTGGTGAGGCTGGCTGAAGCATGCAGGCTGGGTGTGAGGGCTGTGGTTTGTTGGTCGGTTTGGAGGTGGGAATCAGGGTGAGGTCTGCAGACCGGGTTGGACTACTCAGCGCAGACAGAGCTCACAAATCAATTCTGGCGGCATATTCACTCCAAACCTTGTACAAGGAAATGTGCGTCTGCTTGTGAGCATACCAGGACCATGTGGCCCATCCCTAATTTCAAGACTTCAGCAGTACAATCTGCCCTCAATCTGAGACAGTGCTCCTCCAGACTCACGACCCCACCAAACCCAGTCCACACAGCGTCCACCGACACCATCTCACCACTCCAGATGCCCACACCCTCTGGGCACTGCAGCGTCACGCTGTTGACGACCGCCAGGGGCCTGATGGGAACGATTCGGAAGTGGCCGGTGGTGCTCTGCCTCACCTCCCAGGTGGGGCCACAGGCCGCAAACACGGAGGTGGGGCAGGTGTTGCTGCTCTCCTGGATCTTTCCATTCGATGTGTAATACCTCAAGTTGTCCTACAGCAGCAGTGGTTTGGGGCAGTGAGGTTGTGGGAGGGGAGGCTGGTCTGGGGATATAGCAAGCAAGGGGAGAGTCCCGGTTGAGAGTGAGCGTTTTTGCATGTACAGCCCTCAATGGCGTTGACCCGAAGTGACTCCGCCTTCAGACAGCTGGGTGGCCTGCAGACCAATCACCCCCCACAAAGGGTGATGGTCTACATTTCGATCTCTAACTTTGGCAGGATGCGGCTGCTCCCGCGCCACCATGAGCCGCACCTGGGCGGAACAGAGGGGCAGGCCCACGACCAGCCCAGACACCAAGAAGATCAATCGAAGGATGCCCATACGCGCGTCAGGAGCTTGAATAAGGCATTATTTTACATGATAATGGTGTAGAAGATCTTGAGAAGCTCCAAGAGCCTGGGTGTGAGAGGTGAGGAGGGCCACCGATGCGCATGGTGCGGGACCCCGTCGGACCCGGGGCTGCGGCCGGCACGCCGGCCTTCGACACACCCAAGGATTGGATTCAACGAGGCGAACAGAAGCTGTTGAATTGTGCAATTCCATCTTCATGCGCATGGATCTCATGACTCGGATCCAGATTCATCTTCATCATGGTCTTCGAGAGAGCCAATCGGGAATGGGCTCGGTGGGGATGTGCCGTTGGGTGGCGGGTCTCCACCAAGGTAAATGCAAGAACTTAAACAAACGGTATTGCATCCTCAAGGCGAACGGATTTTGCTTTTAGCGCATGTGTGTGTGTTCAACACTGCTGAGTACGATTGCGGCTGTCCTTCTCAACTCAACGAGGGCATCGCAATGAGTAGTCGTCCCACAACCAATTGGGCACCCTTACTTGTGATGCATCACAAAATTATTCTGCTGCACACTGCTCCAGCTCCTTGCTATGCTGCCAGCTCATGACAGCTTGATGTTGGTGAGGGTTTCCAGAAGATGAAAGCCGGGGAGATTGTGAGGGAATAAATGGCTCCGCAACGCCTGTCTGCCATGCAGAATTGCGCGGTCAAGTACACAATTACGGCATATTATGTCAGAAAGATGATCTGCTGGTTCTCCTGCCTGTAATATTGCCTCATCTGACGACACGTGGTCGTGACATCCGGCGGAAAACCTACAACGCAGGCTCCAACCAAATTTCCGAGAACGATGGACGGTCTGTCAGAGGAGACCGCATTTGCCGCAGGTGGATACCGGATAACACTTGTTGTGCTTTCCCTTCTCGACGTACAAGGGGCAAGTGCATTCGGAGCTGGGGAAGACCGCGGCGGCCCAGGGCCCACCCACGTGCGATTTTCATCCGAGGGATATAGAGCTCCAGGGTCGAAGAGAAGGCCAGGTCAGGGTTGCCCAAGTATGCTCCGGCCGGGGTTCTCGGGGCCTTTCCATTGCAAACCGAAACATCGGTTTGGGTCACCATGGCGCAAAACGGTGAGATTTTATCGTTGAAACTCCGCGTCCGGTATTCGCTTCGCTCCGCTACCCCTGCAGTGGCTGTCAGGGGTTGCAGACTCGTCCCAAGGGCGTCAACCCTACCGCGGACGGCGCGTATCCGTCCGCGGAGAATCAAGGTGCACGCATGTCTCTCACTCCCCCACCACGCGGTACTGCGCAGGGGAGGTAGGCGTAAAGGTAGCAGATGGCGGGGCTGAGGACCAGGAGGTCGACTTCAAGAAAGTCAGCCAGGTGGAGGCTTTCGAGATCCTCAAGGTACGCAGGGCACACATGCCGCCCTCGATGATGGGACCGAGGTTCACCCCATGCGCATCCAGTTCTCCACCCAGCTCCGCCAACCCCCGGCGGACCCCGCACATCCCACCCCGCGTCCCCCCGCCTCGCCCTCCCGCAGTGCACCCCCCACGGCATCACCTCCGCGGAGGTGCAGGAGCGCCTGAAGACTTATGGATACAATAAGCTCCCGGAGGAGACCAGGAACCCCATTCTGGTGAGGAACCCTACTGGTGTGTGCGTAGGCAGTGCCCAGACGCGCACACCCCGGCAGCGGGTGGGGGTCCTTGGGAGGTACCCGCAGAGCCTGGATCCCGTTGTGATTAATCTAACACCTCCGTTACCCTGCCCCACACCCCCTTTCCCCCTGCAGGTCTACCTGTCCTACATGTGGAACCCCCTGTCCTGGGCCATGGAGGCAGCGGCCATCATCGCTATCGCCCTGCTGGACTATGCCGATTTCGCGCTGATCGTCGCGCTCCTGCTGGTCAACTCCACCATCTCCTACGTGGAGGAGGCCAACGCCGACAAGGCCATCAAGGCCCTCGCCAGTGGTGAGCTTTTGTGGTTTTGGGGGAGGGATAGAGAGGGACGAGGGGCCAGCCCATGCCCTCCCACATGGCAACCACCCGCCCTTGCCTTGATGCCCTAGCCCTCCCTCGCCACCCCCCCTCACCCCGCATCACGTCTCCATCCCAGCCCTGGCGCCGCGCGCCAAGGCGTTGCGCGACGGCGAAATGAAGACCGTGGACGCCTCCGAGCTCGTCCCCGGCGACGTCATCATCGTCCGCCTGGGCGACATCGTGCCGGCCGACATCAAGATCCTGTTCGAGGGCGAGGTCGCCCCCGTGCATGCCAACGACGAGACTCCCCTCCAGGTGCGTGTGCAAGGCCACATGTTCGCCTGAGGGCCAGAGCAAGCTGTTCATGCCTGGCAAGCATCACGGCATGCGACTCCGCTCTGCATTGCCACGCTGTCCTCCTGCAGAACACGCACCATAATGCATGTGCACCTGACACCCTGCTGAAACCCCTCTCCCGCTTGCTCTTCCTCTTGCCCAGGTGGACCAAGCCGCGCTGACCGGCGAGTCTCTGCCCGTGAAGAAGTTCTCTGGCGACGTCGCTTTTGCCGGATCCACCATCAAGCAGGGCGAGCGTCACTGCCTGGTGCGCTGCAGCGGCCTGCTTGGGGGCTGTGGTTGCGTGTTTGTTTTGGTTCCTGTGTGGTAGCATGTCTCCTGCACCACTCTCATGTGGTAGCTGCCCACCACCGCGCCGCACCCCTGCAGCCCCAAGGGTGCCTGGGAGGGTGACTCAT